TTGAGATTTTTATTTAAAGTTTTTATTCGTGTGTTTATATGTCAAATTTTATTTGATAATATTTCTTGAATTATAAAGATTTAAAATTAATGGAATAGATATTGAGTGGTAGAGGTGTTTTTTATGGAAGCACTTCTTACGGAGTATATGATTTCCTTTATTGTTAGAATATTGATCAAAAACAGAAAAAAGTGAATGCAAAATTATAGAGATAAAGTTGTCCAACAATGTTTTTGTATGCAGTGGCCCTAATAAGAAAGGAACGGTAGCTCTCTGATGTTGAAATATTAACTTAAGTGGTTTTAAATATTTAGATGATAAACTAATCAATGAACTCATTAATGTTGTATTGTGCGGTCTTTTTTTGTCCCGGAGCAAACCACCCAAGGTGGAGGAAGTGCCGGGGAACACTTCCAAATTTTATTAATAATAGATAAATGATAGAAGGAATAAAAAGCATACAAGTGATAAAATAACAGATGAAATAATAAATGAAAAGCTACATTAGCATTTAAAGTCTCTGGTAGGGGTTCCAAGTGTAGCAGAGATATTTATGTTGTATATGTTGTGAAACTTTATCGCTTTCTGCAAATACGGTTGGTATGTTTTGGCTTCCGGGCGGGATGTTTTGTATTGTTTGAGAGTTTGAGCCAATGTATTGTGCGGTCTTCAATTTTGCTACAAAATTAATTTTTAATACTCAGAATAATAATAACTATTCTATAAAACTAATATTTTGTAATACTCCAGATTATAATATGGAGTATAAGATAGTATTTGATATGTATCCTAACTTATATATTTGGTAATTTTCTTTTTGAATAACATCCTTTCTATCAATACTTTTATGTGTTTTATTTATTTTAAAACTATCTACTCCATAAATGTGGTATGCACTATCATTTCTTTTCTTTCAATATACTTATGAGTTCTATATATATTTTAAAACTATCATACACTCCGTATTATTTTACAAAATAAGTTTTACCTAAATTTTGTTCCGTACAACGCACGAGTGTAAATCTAGTAATATTTTGTGTAATGTGCAAAGAACGGTTTGGTCAAGTTTGTTTATCATATATGTTAGGTCCCCTAGATTTTGATTGTTAAGGTTTTGATGATGCCACCCTCTCTATCATGTATTAGACTTAAGATCACTTGATTTGTAGCTTTATTCTTGTTTGTTGTATTATGCTACAATATGTGTTGACAAAAAGAAAGTACCCGGGACAAGCAAAAGAAAAACAAAGAGAGTACTAAAAAGAGAAGAAAAGAAAGAAATGTACGAAAACAAAGAAAAGATAAAAAATAAAAGAGGTATGGAAAAGAGTCGACTGAATCCTTTCCAAACCGGCAGCCTCATGAAAATACAAACTCAGGAGCCTACTGATTTTTCAGCTAGCTACTGACTACGTATTTTCAAGACAGGTCCACTGAAATATTTATTCTTCTCTACAAAGCAACAAAAATAAGAAATCAAAAGACCAACTTGCAACCATATAAAAGAAAGGACATAAAGTATTTTTTTATGAAATTTTTACCACTTCATAAAAATTTCTTATAACATTACTTTTACTTAAAGCAAGGGAGTTATATATTAAGGGAGCATTGAACAAACAATCAGCTTATATACTCAACTCTACGGCTAAAGATGGAAATGTTATCTTAAGCCATATGCTCTGAAATGAGGAATACAAGTTGGACAAAGTCATAACCTGTGCCACAAAAAGACAAAAGCCAACCATGCTGCCTTGCAGTCAAGTAGATCAATCAAGTGGATCAACCAACGGTCAAGATTGAATCTCTTCCGCCAATGGAAGACCTTCAACAACTTAGTCTTTAAATACAGAAGGAGTGTGATAAGTCCATATTTAGACAAGTATTTGATGCATTTTGGGATCGACTTGTGATGGTTTTCCTAGCTTTAAGGTTTTGCAAGTCTCAGTTTTAGCTCAAGTTTTGTTTACCGGGCGTTGGTTCGAGTTTTGTGTTGTTTGGAGTCAAAATCAGGAATTTAGAGTCCGGCACTGACGCTTGATGAGAAAACAGGATGATTCGAGAATCATTCGAGAGTGAATTGATATCTTTGGAGGTCTCCAGGAGGTTTACGATGAAGATTTGAAGACAAAAGAGCTCTAGAATCGGTTACGGGATCAAAAGAAAACAAATAGAGCTTGAAAACGGTGTTCAGGATGACCTCTTGTCAATCGTTCAAGCATATATCTTTGAATAAGAATCTAAAGGACACGATTCAAGTTGAATCTGAAAGCCAACTTCAAGGGCTACAAATCATGAGAAGACACCTTTGCGAGAATCTGAGAGGAAGAAGGTGAAAACAGACGACAAAGTCAGATGATCCCTGTTGCGATTTTGAGACATTCCGCCATTTTACTCATATCTCTTGATTGGATGATTAAAATCCAATTCAGAGAGTTTTGGTGGATAGAGAACTTCATTATCTACAACTTTCATGAAGGAAGTAAAGCCAAATTCGGAAGTTTTACGCAAGCCGTGCGTGCCCCGTTTTTGTTTCCTAATTCAACCCGAATTTCCTTGTTTCCTAATTCAACCCGAATTTCTTTGTTTCCTATAAATAATGCTTTCCTAACCCTATTTTAGGGGGGAGCTTAGAGAGAGGCCTAGGGACGAAATTTCTTCTATTTCTCCATCTTGTTCTTCAGTTCCCTTGGATTATTTGTAAGTTCCTACTTTTTAATTAATGACAATTAATTCAATTCTTCCCAATTCTATTGATTCTTCAATTATGAGTTGTGAGTGGTTTTACTTAGGGATTTGGGATTGATGAAGGGGTTAATCATGGTGTATGGCTAAATTCATGATGGATTAATTGCAAGAATGTATTTAATTTGTGTTTGAATGATTTAATTGATATCTTTTGTAATCTAGAACGGCCGCTAGAATTGCAATTGCTTGTAGAATAAATTAAGAGAGATCTAGTTTATTCTAGGACACCTTCACACACACTTAATCGTTCGCTAAGAGATTAGTAGCGATTAAGGGGTCGTAAGCTCGTTCGTCTTGGTAATAATTTAGGATCTTGTCGCATGAGAGATCAGTCTGGTCCCCTAAATTATTGTACTCTACGTCGCGAGAGCGGTAGGAACTTAGTAATGATTAGCTAGGCTCAATTAAATTAATTTCATGCGATTAAGTCTGATCTGCCAGAAATCTGATTACCTCGAAATCAATCCCTATTCCCTTCGTCATTAATTAGAAAGAACCCATTACTTTAATTTCTTTATTTGCAATTTAATTTTCCTAATCAATTATTTTTATTCGCTCATTCACATTTATTAATTTTCCAACCCAATCAATCTCGCACAATTTATTTTATTTTATTTCTTTTTCCTTCGCTGAATTTAATTAATTCTTAATTCTCTTTTGTCCGTCCCTGTGGAGACAATACTCGTACTAACACCCTATACTGCTACATAATTTAAGTGCGAGAAAACTCACATCACAGTGCGTGAGAACTAAGTGTGGAGCTAAGAAGGAATATGAGTCTACGCGACATGTCCAACACATCTTCTTAGTTCTCACCCCACTCATTTATGCTCTTAAAATAGTTCATATTCATATACATATTTAGAGCCTAGTTAGTTGGTAGTTTAGCTTTACTCTTGTAAACTAGACTAGTTTGTAAACTCTGGAGGGCTTTGTGATCAAATCCAGAAGGAATGTGAAGATCAAGGACATGAGTAACTTTTGCCTTGTCAATGTCATTAGTGAAAAACCTTGGAGGACTGAGTAGTTTGTAATGGTGTTCAAATTCCTTGTAAAAACCCTCACAATCTATGCCTGCGGCCAAGGAAAAAATTGGGCACAAAATGTAATGGGTATATTCATTTAGTGGAAATTCATCTAAAAAAGGGTGGGACTAGATGTAGGAGGATTACATCACCCCTGAACCAGAATATATATATATCTTGTGTTATCTTTTATTTTCAGTTCTCACAACACCAATAGTTCTCACTCACCTTCACATCTTTCCAGTCATCTTAAAATAGCTTCCTGAAACACTTATCGGTAAACTACTCAGTTTACTACATCTTAGTCTCCTTGTTCCTCATTCTTGTATTGAAAAGAGATCTATGTCCATAAGGTCCAAATCCTTCATATCTATGTGTTTAGTCTATTCCAAAAAGTCCTACAATGTTTTAGATCATAGTACTTGACTATGTCTCTAACACTGAAGCAGTAACCTTGTTCGGCAGCCTGCTCCTTGAGGTAACTGATTTTGACAAACACACCTGAACTCTGTTTAACCATCATCTATCAAACTAAAAGATCATAACCTTTGTTACTATAAAGTGTCACACGTATGAGATCAAAACTTCCGTTGAACGTTACAATATCTATCAAAAGATATTGGAACTTACTCTGTTAGAGGAGAAAGAATTGATAAATCAAAAAGATTTAACAGTCTATTCACCCCCTCTCCCCTCTAGACTTTTACCCCACTAGGGACCATCAATATACAACCAACTTGGTATTAAATCTTCATAATATTTTGTGTATAAGTGAAAATAAATATTGGGTTAGAAATTAAGATCCCAAAATAATAACATTTTGGCAAATAAACGGGAGACTACAAAGCTTGTCATATAAGATAACCTCTTTCATGCATCTTTCAGTTGAGTCATTTATCAGCCCCGGACTCGTGGGAACATCGACAATTGTCGTATGACATGTTAAGGACAACCACAACTCATCCTCATTGAATCATACAAGACATCATGATAATGATCGCGTAATAATGTTCCGTTCAATAAATAATAAAATACTCCATTCGTCCCTTAAAACCTTGCCAAGTTTGACCGGCACAGAGATTAATAAAGTGAAAACTATGTGATTGAGAGTTGTGCAAAGGGGAGAGAATTAACTGGTACCACAAATTCTTTACTTAAAAGGGAAAGTGACAAAGTTAGTGGGACATCAAAAAAAAGGAAAGTTGACAAAGTTTTAAAGAACGGAGAGAGTAGTATTAATATAATATGATTAAAGGGATGACATAAATAATCTCCAAAATTAAGGTACATGTGGCAAATACGAGGCAAACAAGTCCAAATCACATATCCCAAATAAGTATCAAGTTCGACAGTTCATGAGCAACTATTATTTAATTTAGTAAATAAAATGGAATGACAGAGCACAAATCAAGTCTATGCTGCAGAAAATAATCATGCGTGCAAGATCAAGTGCAGGTATTCGCGCAAGCATCAACCTGAAAACGGTGAAACACCTGAAGCGGTCAATACTACCACCCCTAAGTAGTGGTGAGGAAATTAATGGAAAACTTTAAAGCATATAGTTGATATTTAATACATAAAATTCTCAAATAGGGTTCTACATATGATACATAATCCATATATATTCTATATAATATACAAAAATAGTCTGGCATCCCTATGAAATTTCTAAAGCTCTGAGTAATCACTTCTATAATGTGTTCATAGTCTACCATTTAGATAGAAATTAAAGCTAAGGTAATTAATATGTGATGATTAAAATAGAGAACATTTATTAAGAGTGCTAATTATTTCTTAAAATAGAAATGAGAACCTTTAGCCGACATGCTTAAAAAAGAAAAGTGAGAACTTAATCTGGGACAGAGAGAGTAGTATATAAAAAATTATAATAATGAACTTCTACAATTATTTTGATTTAACTACAGACTCCCAAGATTAGTTTTCTAGGTCCGCAACTGTGCACTTGACAAATTACATATGAAAAATAGGAAATAATGCAATGAATATTATTTTACAAATATATGTTTCTCCGTATTTGGATAGTTATTCTATGTAAGAATATTGAAACCATTTTAAATCTATATGTGATTCTAATGAGAACATTTCTTTCTTGAGATATACGAAGTATGAAACAATCCAGAACGATGCGTCGATACACATTATGGTTCATTACAGTGCACAATCGTGGCTAATATAATATACAATACGTTTAAATGGACATAAAAATTGATTTTGTTTATATAAATGACATTGCAATTCTGATTCATGATGGTGCACATTTTTGTTCACATAAATACATAATGCACAATATCCAAATGTAACGGTCCAATTCAGTCCCACTTTTCTCCTTAGGTCGTGTTCTTATTTGATCCAAATTCTCTCTCTAGTGTGTGTACATGTGTGTAGAAGTGTCCTAGTGAGAACCCTTTAAGATGAGAACTTTTAAAGTTTTAATCACTACCTTTGATTTATTTCAATCATTAGTTAGAGTTGAAAGACAATAGTGTTCACCATAAATATCGGTGTGCTATTCATTCGGTATAAATAGCTCATGTAAACATTTTCAATTGTTAACCAATAACTATATACATAGTTGTATCCTACTAAAAGGCGCTAGGCGCTAGTCGGACGGTGACTGGCCGCGGCGGCCGCCTAGCGCCTAGCCCGCCTAGGCGCCGACTAGGGCGCCTAGGTATTTTTCCATCAGTTTTTGTTTTCTTTTTATTTCCTTTGAATTTTAATTATATTACTAATAATTTTATAATATTTTGAAAATAGAAATAGCTCATATAATCATTAGATGTTAAGTTTTTTATAGTAGAATCATCAATAATAAAATAATTAATAAATAAATTAAGATATTTGTGTTTTTTACTCTCTTAAAATCTTAAAATATATTCTAAAAACTTTATTTATTTTTTAAAATTATTTTTTATTGTGAGAATATGAAAATAAATTATATAGGAATAGAATACTTCTTGATCACACGATATTTTTAGTTCAAGCCGCCTAGCCCGCCTAGTCGCCCGCCTAGTCGCCTGCCTAGCCGACTAGGCGCCCGCCTAGCCCGCGTAGGCCCCGAAACGATTTTTCCCACCGATTAGAACGAAATCAGGGTGTCCGGCCACCGCCTAGCGACTAGGCGGTACCTAGGCGGGCGCCTAGGCTGATTTTTAGAACCATGGTTGTATCAAAGTAAGCTAGCTCTCAAATTGGATTACATGTGATAAGACTACAGAAAAGTAGCCATAATAATACATAACTGAATGAGTAGATATGATTTACACATTAGTAAATGAGTTGTGTGTTAGCATGTGAGATCTTCAGCGATCAGGTTGTTACGTGTGCATTATGCATGGTCATGCATGACATGATATTTCCATCACACCATCAAATGGGTATGAGGGCTTTGGTATGTAGCATACTTACTAACGTATAGATTTGTTTGGGACGGAATTTGATGTCTTTATTATGGGTGATCATAGGATGGCGGGTTGGGATGGTTGTGGACTTGTGGTGGTTTCGTAGTAGTGGATGAGGGTGGGCTAGAGTTATGGTGGGAATATGTAAAGGGGGGTGGTACAGGAGAATCTGGAGAGGGTGTTGGATTTATTTGGTTGGTTGGAAGGGGTAGTAAGTGGGATATGAGATATGGGGATGGGGAGGCAGATGAAAAGTCATAGGAGGGGGAATGGGCAGTTTTTGTTGTTGAAGGGGGGCAATGGATTCGTTAAATGTAAAGTGTGAGGAAATGATGATCGATGTGATGTGTAGATTAGTCAAGGCATTTGTATCCTTTATGTTGAGTAGGGAAATCGAGAAAGGCACAAAGGGTAGTGCGAGCGGGAAGTTTGTGGTGTGGGTAGGAGGGAGATGGGGATATCATAAGCAATCGAAAATGCGCAAATGAGAGTAAGTAGATTTTTATGGTATAGGACTAGGGTAAGGTATTTAAAGGTGAGAGATTTGCATGGGAGAGTATTATGGAGATATGTGGTCATGAGTACAACATGAGATCAAAAGTGGGAGGGGAAGGACACATAAAGGAGATGGTATGACTAATATTATTTATGGAGCTTATTTTGCATTCCGCTTTACCATTTTGAGGTGAGGTATAGGGACAAGAGTAGCGGGAGGAGGTCCCATGTGTGGAGTAAAAATTATGAAGAAACGGAATATTATATTTACAACCATTGTCACATTGAAGGATTTTAATATTTGTTTGAAATTGAGTTTGCACAAACGTATAAAATTGCATGAATGTAGAAAACGCATCAGATTTGTGATTGAGAGGTTAAATCGTTAGAAAATTGTAAAAATCATCTAGTAAAAGAATATAATACCGATGATCAGTGGAACTAAAAATTGGAGAAGTCCATAGGTCAATGTGTGATTTCAAAGGGGGCATGAGTATATGATAAAGTTGGGGAGAAGGGTAATTTATTATGTTTTCGAATTTGAAAAGAGTGACAAACATCAATATATGTTGTTACAATAAATGATGTTATTAGTGCTAAGACTGTGAAAAATAGGAACGTCGCGGTGTCTGAGTCGATTGTGTCAAGTAGCGGATGAGAGGCCGGAAAAGTTGGTGAGATGTGAATTGGTATCAGAGAGGAAGGCACACACTCGATACAAAGCACCTTGACTATTACACCGCATGATTAAAGTTCTTGTATGAAGATCCTTTGTAGAAAACCAAGTGGGTCAAATTAATTGGGCACATGGTTATCAATAGTGAATTTTTGCACCAAAATTAAATTTTTAATGACATGTGGGACATGGAGTTTAAGTAGGGGAAAAGGAGAGGAGGAAGAGGTGTGACTGTGACCTGTAACGGGAATGGATGAACCATTTCCAACCATGATACTATGTATAGAGGTCTTATTAATAAAAGACGAGAGAACATGAGTTGGACATCATGTGAGAGCTAGCTGTGCTGTCCATGTACCAACTATCATTAGGGAGGTTGAGTGTCATGGTGTTCATGGAGGCATGAATGTCAGAGGGAAGGGAGTTGGCCGTATGGGACTGACTGGGTCTAATAGTTAGTGATTGCGGACAGGGGCCCATAATGTCGGCAGATGGAGAGCGTGTAAATAAAGAGGCGCCTCGTGTAGTGTGGGGTAGGGTGGCATCCAAGCAGCTAATGGAGGAAGTGGCCATGGGTAAGGTGTTGTGACCAAGATGCTTAGTCAAACTGGCGTCCACTGCATTGTCGGCAATGTCCTCTGCCGTGACGAGATTCGTGTTGGTCGGCCCCACGTTCATGGGAGCCTCCCGATGAAAAAGGTGTAGGAGAAGCGGGATGAGGGGAAGCCGTGGGAGAGAATCGAGAAGAAGATGAAGTTACGATCAGTTGATGGGATCGTGGAGATTCCTTCAAAAGCAGCATGGATCTAGCCTGTTCAAAGGAAGGTAATGGATCCATTTGTTGGAAGAAGGAGGCCAAGAGTGAGAAAGAGAAATGATGGGGATCATAGGAATGGTGGCCGACTTAACCACAAGGTTAAAAGTGTCATCACAATCAATGATGTGAAGCTGAGATTGCCGTTGACGACTAAATGTTCTATATGGCGCTCAAGAGTCCCGTCTAACCTGTATTTATGTTTAAACAACCACATGCAATGTGTGATATTAGCATTGGGGGGAACCAACTCCCACTTTTATTAGTAATAAGAGCTGTAAGCTTAGAAATCATAATTTCTTTCTAGTTAAGGCCACTTAGGGCATGTAGGTGGGATTTGGGGAGTGGTGACTTTGTGATGGGTGTAAGGGATTGGATGTGTAGTGTATAGATTTGGTTGGGATGAAATATCTCGTCTTTGATATGGGTGATCATACGATGGTGGGTGGGATGGGGTGGTTGTGGTGGTTCGATAGTGGTAGGTGAGGGTGAGCTAGAGTTATGGTGGGAATATATAAAGGGGGATGAGTTCTAGAGAGGGTGTTGGATTTATTTGGAATGTTGGAGCGTGGAGGGCATAGTAAGTGAGATATGAGATACAGGGATGGGGAGGCATACATAAAGTTACAGGAGGAAGAGCGGGTGGTTTTTATTATTGGAAGGGGAAAATGGATTAGTTAAATGTAATGCGTCGGGAAATGATAATGCGATGTGTAGATAAATCAAGGCATTTGTATCCTTTATGTTGAGTAGGAAAACCAAGAGAGGCACAAGGGGTAGTGCGAGCGGCGAGTTTGTGGGTAGGAGGGAGATGGTGGTAGCATAAGCAATCGAAAATGCGCAAATTGGAGAAAGTAGGTTGTTTATTGTATAGGACTAGGGTAGGGGATTTAAAGGCTAGGCATTTGCATGAGAGAATATTATGGAGATATGTGGCCATGAGGACAATATGAGGCCAAAAGTTGGAGAGGACGGACGCATGAAGGGAAAGGATATGACTAATATTCTTTATGGAGCGTATTTTGCATTCTGCTTTACCATTTTGAGGTGAGGTATACACACAAGAGT